AGTATGTTCAGCTTGTACCTTTACTTTCTCTGTTCTTGTTCGGCTGTTATCACTTGCTCTCTTCTTATTCTTACATTCTTAAATCTTGTCCAGAGTTCCCATAGAGATCCATTCCTTATGATGATACTTATTGCGGTCAAGAATCTCCTGACACGTTGAAATTAGTGCTTCTTTGACCCATTCCCAGTTATCCTACATAGTAGTTTTTCAGTAGATCTTGCGGGGTTTGGAACGTGTTGTTGAAAACTATCTTCAATTCATTGAGTTTGTATGTCGAAGGAAAGCTGTATTGAATCTTATTATTACTGATTCTCCAGTTGTTAAGTGTTTCTTTAGCTCCAGTTTCATCTTAGCAACCAACAGTTATTAGTGAAGCTATGTCAGCTGTTCTCCTGGTTCTCACGTCTTCCATTGACCGTGTGAATTTTTTACTGATGCTAACATGATCGACCTGGTTCTCTGTAGTATGATCCAGTGAGTCCCATGTAGCTATGTGTATGTGTTTGTATGGGAACATTGCGTCGCATATTACCTTTTTGTTGGACGCATATAAACCTGCAAATCTGTCACCATTCTCGTTAATTTCTTCCAGTCAGTCCATGTCGTCCCATAATGCCTTCATATCCAGTGTTGTCCATTCCGATGTTGGCATTTAAGTCCTCCATCAGGATGGTCAGGTCCATTCATGGACACTTCGCTATTATCGGTTGGAGCCCCTTTTGGGGCCGATCTTTACTATCTTCACTGCTATCATCGTCACTTCATAACATTAGATAGCATCCATTATGACCCCCTCCTTCTTTGTTTTGAATGATGCTTTGGTGATCCTGGATCCGTGAGATTCCCATCCTACAAGTGCATTTCGTGCTTCTTTGGACAGCATTTGAGAAACTTCCTGAGTATGTGAAGCATTTTCCTCCTCGTGACCTGGGTGCAGCAGGATCTCTCTCATACCCAACCCTTGCTGTCGAGCTTGGCTCCAATCGGTTTCGCTGATTCCCAGCACTGCCAAGTTGTATCTCCTCATATTCGTTGCTATTTGACTGATCCTGCCGGCCTCTCACATTGTCCGGACGTTCCATGTACCGATAAAAATTGTTGCACTGATTGTCAGAAGAGGCATGGACTTCCGAAGTGTCTCGGCTTTCATCCTGAGGCGTCATAATTATCCGTTCAACTTGGAAGACAGAGTTTAAATGGTTTAAATTACTTATTTTGGCAAGGTTGTTTTCTACGGGCTGATATGCCGACCCCGTGCTTAACCCTTCTCTATTAACCTGGCTCGAGACTAGCAGTAGCCCTAGGAGGGATACAGGCGGAATTACAATGGCACAGCTATTGTGAGCTTCTCGATACTGCGATTTTTTCTAACCAGTACCCGGTAACATAAATCTTTACCACATTGTCCTCATCTTACAGAGAAGAGCGCAAACCTCCCTGCTGAACTGTGGTGGAGAGTTTCTCAGAATCCTTGGTGTAGTCCAAGGGAAGTGGGGTGAGGTACCTTTTAAGTATAAATTTCGAAATGCATCCCAAGCTCTTTCAATTGAAGACTCTAGCTCTGTTGTCCGATCTATTGGCGATTCTGAGTGCATAACATCTTGTATATTTGCTCTCAGACGTTAGGTCTGGATTGAGTTAACTCGTGCTCATTTTTTGATAATCATATGGAAGTTGAAGGTTAGACCTTCATGATCACTTTTACCCAGAGGTGGCGTGCATTAGAGGTCCGTGACGCCATCCTCATAATCGGTCAATATAAGATCTAGTAAGGATCATACCTAGTCGCTTCTTTTGCACGTTGCACTAGGACACATGTGATAACCACATCAACTAGCTCCTGTTCTGAAGAACTTTCTGGCAATTTGATTCTCAGATTTTTTAAATCTATCACGGGTGTGTAGCGGTAAATAAATCCCAAAAATAAATAGCTCTGTAAGTTTTCGACATTGGATGCTGACCATATGTTTTAGTGGACTCATCTAGCTGAAGGCGCTCGGTCATGCATCCGCACCAGATCACGTGTGGTAACGCTGTGCTCAACATTTACCGCAATCGCTAGCCAGATTAGATCAGAGAATTCCGATATACTGGTAATCGCCAAATACACTCTTCCGATCTCCTCGACTCTGTCTTTTGATTTCTCTTGGTGGGTACAAATTATATTAGAAGGTGTTGCTGGTAAAAGCGTCGTCAAACACTGAATATCTGTGTCATCTTCAGGTGCATTAAGGTCTACTGCGACTAGACGTCGACCACTTTGTGATCGAGTATTGAGACTGTTTAGCAAGACCTTATTCACCTCACAGCTTGAACTGCAATAGACCAAGCTAATCAGCAGCTCTTGTCTCTTGCATTTCAACCGGCAACTAACCAGTTCACACATCTCACTCTCATGGGATACACTATCGATAATGGCAGACAGCATAGCATTCCTAATGAATAGAGCTACCACCCCTTCTTTACGCCTTTGGATTCTCTCGGCTCTTACCAACTGGAAACCCTCAAAATCAAGTCCCATCATATCAACAGGCTGCGTCAGCCAAGTTTATGTGGATGCTATCATTTCTGGCTCGGTAGAGTTAACCTGAACACCTGGTTCCGAACGTTTATCGAACAAGCTTCAGACATTAGTGTGACAGATCCGAAGCTTCCTGCTGCACTCAGATTGGCTTCGGTGTCACTCTCTGTCGAAGCCCCACAACCCGAAAATTTACAATTTTTAGGCTCTATTCGACAGCGCCTAACCTAAGTTGCAATAATCCTTCGGCTTTCCGTTCCTTTACACGGTCTGCCAAGGACAAGTCCTTACGGTCAGAAACTCCTGAACCCTTTAATTTATGTCCATTCTGTAAAATTAAGTCCTGTTCATCAGGGGATTTAAATTCTACCTTCAGCAGCCTGGATTGATTTGGTTTTAACTTGGCTTGATTACCTAGTCTATACGCTTTTAGGGAAATGACTGCGGGGATATTCTGAGGCATAGGTTGATTTAGTAGCTGTTGTATCAACCCAATATCATGCTCAAAACGAGTTTTAGGTTCTGAGCATTCACTCGCTTTCATTCTGTGAAAAATAACTGACCTGTCACCGTGATCAGTCTTCAGATACTCGACTACATTTTTGGAGGTTGGACATTCTTTCATATCGTAATGTCGACTTCTACCCACTCGCCAACCCTTTGGAGTAGTGACCACAGTTGCGCCAAACATACTGTGAGATTCGAAAGGTTATTGAAAACTTGGACAGTCAGGTTGTGTTTCCTGCGAGAAACAGATCGAGCCTTGAGATTGCGATTCTTGGTCGTTTCTTGCCGACTACAATTTAGAGGACGGGGGACAGAAGAAACTTTCTTTCTAAGGTTTTTATTTAGAAAAAACCCCTTCAAATACGGTTTTTCCTCCTTTGACCGATGAGAGTCGGCTAGTTCCAAGCATACTTGATGTAGCTCCACATCAATTTGTGTATCGACAGAGCGAGTGCTGTCCGATGTGTCCCGACCTTGCTCGCTAATACACATTTCTGCAACATGTACCATCAAAATGGTCCCGATTGACAAGCTGTTTACGTTCGAGCAGCACTGCTGACAAATCCATACTGACCGTTCGAAAGCTACAGGCGTCAAACTCGTACAAACTCCGTGGTGCCAGGCTTTACATTCATGCCGTTTCCAACGGGATATCGACAGCCCGGAAGTTGACAATAGCTTTTTTTGCACTGTCCAGTCATTGAACAGAGGTTTTCAAAAAGAAACTAGATACAATAGTACCCGAAGACAAATGTGATCTATGACCAAAAAGGTGGAAAACTGTAAATTGTTAGAACCAAAGGTGCTAACAAATACAATAGAAAATAAAGTACTAAAAGTACCGACGACAAACTACTTTAGAAGCAGAAACCATACTCTTATTGGATAATTTGGCGCAAGTAAATTCAATTAAAGTGTAAACAGTAGTCTTAAACGTAATAAACGATCAAGACAATAGAATTTACTCAGCGAGGAAAAATATCACTGTCCTTCTAAATAGCGCGCACACTTATGGGCTTGTGTTATTCCTCTTATGTGTAAATGACCGTCCTCTTCTAATAACATGATCGGTCTTGTTATATGCTGATGAGTTCAAGATATGGAGTGCGATACGAAGTAAGAGGTGATAACTTAGAATTTCAAAATGACCTGGAGAAATTAGCTGAATAGTCTCAAACCTGGCAGTTGCTGATAAATACTTCTGCGTGTATTGTGATACATATCGGTCATCAAAGTACAGATACATACATGATGAACAACATCAAGCTACCTGTTGTCCAGACACATAATGACTTAGGAGTCATCGTTAACTAAGACTTAAAGACTACTGCACACTACCGTGCAATAGCCGCCAAACGTTTTAGAACTTTACGGTCAATACGTAGGGCTGAAACTTCTTCGACTTTGTATACAGTGTTCGTGCGTCTTAAACTTGAGTACTGCATACAAGTGGCTAGCCCGTGCTTAAGAAAAGACAGTGAGCTTTTGGAAAAGGTTCAGAGAACAGCAACTAAGCTGATTCCCGGAATAGCGAAGTTCCCGTATGATGCTCGACTGGCTAAGCTAAATATATCCCCATTGTCATATAGAAGAACTAAATGTGACTTGATAGCACTTTTCAAATTACTTAGTGATAAATTTGCCCTTGATGTGCCCTCATTTTTCGTGTCTTTCAAAACGGGGAATCTACGAGGACACTCCGAAATGCTCCCACGCTCCACCCGTCGACTCTCAAAAGAAAGTTGAATCAACCGAGAGACCACCATTACCAGGACTAACACAGGCCATCAAGCCTCTTGTCCTTGTCAATCTGAAACTGAATGGTGGTAAAATAATATATTCATCCAAACTCTTAAATATGCGTATGATTAAGACATAAATCTCAAAAGATAGTCAACTCACCTCTTCCGTTACAAAGTTTGGAATGTATTAACCTTATTACTTTCCAGTGACTTGTTTGGTCACTGCCTTTATGAAGGACATAATCTTTGACTGCGAGACCGCGGTTATCTTGACGATGAAGAAAGTGTCACAGAGTTATTTTGATGAGACAGTGAAGTCAAATATGGAATTGTTCGACCTCTCAGTAGATGATGCTATAGCAGAATCCGTTCAGACGTTTGCATTAGAGGTCTGGAATGACATTTTGATGGTTTACGACATGTAGGGTGTAGATCTCTCCGATATTGTGAAGGATATGATCAAGTATGAAGACGGCCATCCGTGTGCTCTTGCTATCAAAAAACTTCAAAGGCTTTTAGAGGTTGACCATGAAACTCCCGAGTTGCTGGAAGCTTTGCAATCCTTACAGCTACCAGGAAACTCTGACTTTGCTGTCCGCAAATTGTTAATCGATATGAATTCTGTAGATATCTTACTAAACCTTTTTGATCTGTATACTCCAGTTGGGGACTATTGTCTATGTACTTTATTGTTGAATGTGTTGTCCAGAATAATTAAAGGCCATTCCGAATCTGTTGGTGAAAAACATATCCAAAGTAAGCAAATAACCAAAAAAATTACATGACTAAAATTCCTAGTTTTCACTGCAACAGTATGGTTCTCAGTACCTTTTTAAAAATGTTTGTACACCAAGCTGATATCTGAAGTCCGATACCATGGTTACTCACCAAGTTCTTATATTTACTGGTGCAATTAGGAGTTTGAGGTGGATAAATTATTTTCGGCATAATTACTAATTGTTCACCTCTGTTTGATTATATACTATGCATTACTGATGGATACCATTGACCCAGTAACTTATCCAACAATAGAATAGTTTAAACTCATTCTTGCTTGTAAATTGAGACTAAGTACTAGCACTAATACACCAACCTCTCTTGAATAGTGCCAATATGCACCGCCTTTGGCACAAGCGATGTATCTGTTTGTCAAATAAGAGGCTAGTATACTGTGCTGTATTGCTGAACATATAGGGATTATATCCATTGAAGAGGAAATTGTTCTGCTGCTTCTCATTCGTCTAAATTATCTCAGGATGTTGATGTAAATCCAATAGCATATTTGTGCCAGGTCCGGTGTTGCCGATGACTAATTCATTATTTAAAAGTTGGTGTTCACAACGAATACCGGAAAACCCTTTAATTCGTAGAAGTGTGTGTTAAATGTCATAATAATGATTTTTACGTAACAAGTTATCCAACTAGTAAAATGTCTAACTCGTCTTTGTTTTTTTTTACCCCCATAGAGTTAATAAATTCACTCTCCAAATTAATTAATGAATTGGAAGAAAACCCATCTACCGATTTAAAATTCAGTTTAATTGCTGCAATCTACTCAGTGTTACATCTTAGTTGCACGAAAAATGAAAGGAATAGAACTTTTATTTCCCAAACTCAAACTGTCGCTCAGACCATAAATTTTTTCATGAGAATCGCAGAATTGTTTGACGATCTCCCTTTTAATACTTTCTATCCTGCATTAAAAGAAGGATGCGGATTCTTACGATCACTAACCCTCGATGATGATTTAGACGTTGAATTCGGTCTAGGAAGTGAAAATGCTCGTACCATAGCTAAAAGTGACTTGTGTTTGGAAGTATTTGTCAAGTTAATATCAAGTAAACATTCTGCAGTATTTTATAGCTTGTTTCTATTCATTTCGCGTTGATTAAAGTTTATACGTATTGTCAAGAGCTCTGATAAGGTAACTAGAATAAGATTATCTATTAATTTTATGCGATGGTCGTTCACTTTGACATCCGACTGTTGACAAATTCAGTTATTAATCATTTCAGTACGATATTTAATTGTATTCAGAGAGTTTTTTGCGACCACTTGGTTTTGGTGTCTGTTTAATGTAAACTTCGTTATAATTATTAAAGCCCATCGATAATTGCAGAAAAAAAGCCATGGAATGAGGAATATTTTTACATAAAATATATCCCCAGTTTTAGGCTAGGCTTTGTGTTGTTATTAGTTGGGGGCTGGGTTAAGAGTACCGGAGGCATACGGTTGAAAAGCAATTGCAGACGTTCTTTTATTGTAATAATATTTTCCAGTTGTGTAGCAAGGACCAGACCGAAACAATTCCTTTTGAAAGTTTAGTTGTTGACCGGTAAACAGTTTGCTTCATAGATTTATGTGGACTGAATTCTATGTATTTATTGATACCACAATAATTCGAGTGCAGTAGCGGACTAGAAAATAAACTACAAAAGCTATACGGTAATGCTATGGAAAAATACAGTGTAAAGCTAAGTTATCACTTCTGAAGAGTTCTGAACATGGACGAGACACTGGTCTTTTTCTCCTTAATATTCAATAGTTCTACATTTGATCCCAATGAGTAGTAATAACTATCCTAACATTTATCAATTCCTAATAAACAGTCCAACTGACTAATAAAAGTTTTCTCATTAGTATCTTGCTTCCGGAGAAATCTTATAAAGACGCTACCAGTCTACTGAACACCTTTTCTCCGTACTACATAAAAACGCCTATGCAATACTGACTTGCATTGTCTGGGATAAAAATAGCACATCAGTCGCTTCACTTGTCTCGGATGTTTCATCAGACCTGGTGGGTTCGGTAGTCAACAACATTTCGTTGAGCACAAGAAGTTCTGCCTTTTTTTAACCTATATTACTTATGACTTAAGTAATTTTTTAAGTCCGTTCTTTACCTTTATATGACCAACCATAAGCTTTCTAAATATCTGTGCGATTCCTAACATTGTAGATCCTCATTTGCCAACTCCATCACGCGTAAATAATTACCCGGATTCTCAGACAATCGTATACTTGCAGTTCTCTTCAGCTAACCAACCAATTATGAAATCCATTCCGTAAAAAAGGTTACCCTTCTCTGTTATTTACTCCTCCCTTGTTTGACATTCAGTCACCTCATCGAGACTACATAGGAATGCTATTAGTACTCGTCTGTTTAATATTTCTAGTTACGTGTTTTGTGCAAAAACTTGTGATGCTTTTTGATTGCCTGACCACAGTATGTAAAATAAAATTCCAACTCATGATTTTGAAGTGTACTCCAAAATCTATGTTTTCAGTAATAACCCAACTAGAATTTCGAAATTTTTGAAATATAACTCACATTTTACGTCTTGAATCAGTCATCAATTAATATACTAAAAGTATCATTTATTTATACTCATATGTACTCTAAGTTGACGCTCAATTCTGATCAGTGTATGGGATAAATTGAGAAAATTAGCGATGGCTAGATAAAGACTTGGTATCAGTCCATTAAACTGCTGTTTCTGGAGGCATAGGATACCTAGTTGGTGAAGATAATCTTATTTCACTCGGTTTAAAAATTTCTGAGACTAACGCAAATATATTTAATTTCTTTCCTAAATCCTTCTTTTAGGCATTTTTAGTTCTCATTCCATTTCACTAGTTGTTTTCAAATAATCCTTCATACGATTAATTTCTTACTACAAATGATATTAATATTTCCATTTTTTGTTTTTCAACGTGTTTTATTTATTTATTTTAACACATAGATATTGGTACAAGGAGGCACCAAATACATATGTGCCACACAAATCTCATTCGATATGTGTGAGGGCTGTGATACTGCCCGGGTGCCCAAACCGAAACAGGTGGTTTTCTTAGGGGGCCACTCCCCGAACCTTCGACCTAAAGGTCTGATCCATAAGGCAGTGGAGCATCGTGAGGAGATGCAGTCCCGTGAAAGCCGGTGACCAACGATTGATTCATACGCCATTTGTTCCCGCAGGATACTGGAGCCCATGTGCACCATTGGTTTGAAATCCGGTTAAAGCGCCAGACATTCGCTTTTCGTCCTCTCATTTTCGTAAACAACACCCGTGATGCGAGAAGGCAGTGAGTAGGACTTCTTTGGCAGAGGCTATATACGCGTGGCCATGTGAGAGCACTTCGAGAGGGAGAGCGGACTCTCCCCACTCTCGGCCATACCAGGGCATTTGTTAACCCATGCTTTTTATTGTGAGTTGATGTCCAGTAACTAATCATATCCCACACTGTTTATACTGAACTTATATGTCTTCACCTTAAAATTTGATTTGGAAACTAATGACCACATTATTAGCTTGGGATTTCCTTTAATGCTATGACAGTCTTTACCTTATCGTTGAATATATATTTCACATGTGTGTTCAATATTTTCCTCTTTCTTCCCTGCTGTCATATATCTATTTTTCTCCTAATTTTTTATAGAGATTTTGAACTCCTCAAATGTCAGTGGAATTTCTGACCTATTTCAGACATTATCAACTATAATTACTCGCGAGGAGTTGTGCACAAAATTCGCATCATTTAACGGCATCGATATACTAATGCAAACTATCTATTCTAATATAAATTCAACTGTAAGCAATTTATGCTAATACTTTTATAGTCACTAATCTTTCTAAATTTCCTCTAACTTTCAATAACAATGTTGAGAAATTTAGTTCTTTCGTAATTTTTGTTGCGCTCAATGTCCTAAACAACTTGAGTAATAGAATTTGATTAACACAAAAGGACTAGAAAAATATAACGTTAACCACTATTTAGTGACCAATCAGTTTTATATATCTCGGTCCTACAGAAGGTCAATCGCGACCTGATTAGCTTATTGTTAGCATCTCATATTGTTAATTCGATCTACTTGGGTTTATATCCACAAAAGCAGCATCCATCTCCTCAAGATTTCAGTTACACCTTGCCTGATGGTTGCCAGGTGGCATGAAACTTAAGCATGAAGTTTCCTACTGACAACCTCTAACTGCTTAACATCGCTTTTCTGTGTTCGTTTCATGTGTTATTTGGCAGTGGTTGGTCAGTTATTCACGAATAACTAAAGACCTATTACTAATCTGTGTCTGTTTAATTAGCCCTATTTCACATCAATTCGGTAAGTTATAAAATTAACAGAATCAAAATTATGACTTATTAAAGTAATCGTATCACTCATGATATGAAGTTAAAAACATTGTACAAATAAGCCGGGTGATATCAGAAAATGGAAAGCATAGGATAATAAAACCCAAGATTCATTTGTTTGTGTATTTATCTACGATAAAATCTGATAAGCTTTTCAATTGGCAGCTGATTCGCATATTTTTGTTGGGTAATCTTATGCTAAAACTAACCCCTGTATGATTAATATCATTAATCCAATAAGTATACTGCCAAATCAGTACACCAAAATTAAAACTGTAATAGAACAAATGTGTACAAACCGAATTTTCGTTGATTTAAATCGTATTGGACAGAAATTGCAAACATGACAATGAATATTATATTAACATTTTTGCCAGCCACAATTCTATCTCAAAGTCAAACTGCAGTCGAATAAAAGCAAACTCTGTAGAATTTATAAATTCTCAGTTTATTTTAATTGTTAGATTTTAAATGACCCACTGTTGTCCCACTTTTGTTTTATTTCGTCGTATCGATTTTTCTCAGGTTATTGTTTCGTCTTCATTGATCCTTTTACAAGCACTATGTGGTTCAGATGCTTGTAAACTATCTGTTAGCAATTGGTCAATCCATAGTATTTCCGGACCTCAGCTTATTGTAGATCTATTTGAAGGCCATATAAAAAGTCCTGTTGTTACAAAATATATCTCAGGTGTAATTGCTGCGCTTACTCTTCGACAACCTAATATTGCAAAATCGTTTGTTACATCAGGTGCATCAAATTATCTCATCAAGTTAAGTTGAATAAAATTTGAAAAATAAAGTATAAATCTAATAATAATTTAAGTGTTACACGAACAAAAACACTGAATAGCTTGGATCTCATACATTTCTGTTTGGGTTGTCAACAATTTTAAGCTTAATTTGGTTCGTCTGTCCACATTTTTTATACATTCAATAACCTTGCTGGTGTGATACTCATGCAATATTTTTAATTTTATTGATATTAATTCTGAACTTATTTGTTCACTTATAACATTTACCAGTAAAGATCGTAAGTACATGTACTCCATATCCATAACCATTGTCTGTATCAGTGACATTTGTTACAGAAGTACGTGGGACTGAGAGATAATCTAATTAGTTTAGTTTATCAACGAGTAAAGATCGAAGGTCTAAACTCCTAAGCCCACTAGTTGTTTTGCTGATTGAAGTGATGCAAATCGAAAGTCAATTCATTCCTCATCTCTAATTATGTTGAAAATACTACCATCATATCCTTTGTTCGTTCCCTTTCACGTTCCTTTTAGTGTTTTAACACAGTTGGTTTTCCGAAGTATCATGTTCGATAGTGTATAGGAATGTGAACTAATACTCTATCCTACCTATTTCTACGTTACTTTGGTCAGTCATCAATATTAACGTTATAAATAGATACTGTTCGACGTGGTAGGTGACGCTTAGCGAATCATGGCGTACTACCGAAATGTGATACTGAATGGAATAAGAATAGCCAATGCATTATATATGCAGGAAGTTACCGAATATTGCATTGAGTCATTTGAAAATGTCTTGAATGGAAGCCCTCTTTTAAAGAATGGTATATATTATCGTTCTTTATGCTATCCCCCAACTACTTAGGAATTTAATCTACGTAAATGATTGCTTTCTGAGTACTGACATATACCCATATAAACTTGCGTTGTACATAATTTTTTCCACAAATATTGGTTCGACCGTTATTACACTAATCATACTTACCGCGTGTTCGGTCCCTCTTTTCACTCCTCTGTCTTGCTCTCATTTCTGTTTATCTGTCTCATAACTGTGAGAACCTGCAGTGACGTACGTGTATATAATCAGTAGTGTTTCTTAGCTGTAGGATTTATTGCCTACGGATCACCAGCGTATAAACGTTAGTTCTTTAATCTACTTGGATTTAATATGCGAATTCCTTTTTTGAACTATTACTAGAAAATTTAAAATGTAGTTCTGCTAACGTGTACTGATTATGTTGCATTTGATTTCACTCGTCCTCAACCCTTCATGCTTTATGATTGTTACAATATTTACGTGCTTCTAATAAACGAAGATATTTCATAAGTATCCACTCAAGCCTGTTGAATTTTAGCAGGATTGCTTTTCTCAATATTTCACATCAATGACTAAATCACTTATTTATTTGTAAGTTTATATCTTAAATTGTATACGTATGTACAATTATTTTCTGTTGTAGACGCTCGAGCTTCATTTATCCAATCCTTCAACTGTTCGAGCCGCATGTAGAGCTATACGTAACTGTGTCTCACGGTCTCCAGAATTACGGTCTTCGTTTCTGACATCCGATTCTGGTGCTGACACTGGTTTAGAAAAACTGCTCAATTCTGCACTAAAAATCCCATCATGTTGTGATGAAGCTAAAGCAGCTCTTCGGGACTTAGACTGCAAGGTTGAGCTTCAGGAGCTCTGGAATGGTCGTTCACAGTCTGGATTACTAAATAGCAGTTGACTTACATGGATTCACTGAGTACTGGAACTGATCTTAACAATCTGGCATTGTAAAGTTTCTGACATTCTGGTGCATTCAGTAAATATGACTGGTTGTGCTATTACTTTTATATATAGTCTTGATTTCAATAAGTTGCAGATAAGCATCGTTTAGTTAGAGGTCGCTGAATAATCGTTTCTCCGTATTTATGAGTAAGTAATAAACAACGCAAAACCTTAACCACATATTCATCTGCCCGAGTTACCACGACGTATCAGTACAGTAAAATGAACATTGTCCCAACAAAAGGAGTAGTGGTGTCACTACGAAAAAGAGGTTAGCGGTAGAATACATGATCAGAGAAGGTAAGGCGCCCGACCGTTGTTGCTACCTTGACGTGTTGGTCGGGCTTGCTTATCGTAATGAAGCGACCGAGCTATACTGGCTGGAACAACCGTTCCTCAAGGTCCTACCATGTCAGACAGGTCGGTTGAAGAGCGGTAAGACTAAAAGCAACAAACCCTAGGTCCGAAGGCGAATTCGTACTGCTGACTGTACAGAGGTGTGAAAGCAGTAAGGTGTTTCCTTCAGACAACCAGCATGACAGCGATACTGCCTTCCCACAGTTAGCGGTGGGGTTAGAAAAGGTCGACCTTAAAAATGCACACCACCTTATCTCGCGGATATCCGTCTCCGGCCGTAAGGTCTCAACAAGTACGAAGCTAACACGAAAATTACTCATCAAAAGGTCGTGTGTGACCGACCTCAAGCAGTTGTACCTTGGGCACTGTGGTCACGCTCAGGTAACTGAGACCACCTCTAATCCAATTTCCTTTTCAGGTACCTCCAGATGACCACTTCCACGGTGTGGGCAGCCGGGAAGTGATAACCGCCCTCATACTTCTAACAGCACTCAAGACCTTTGTATTCACAATCGACTCCCTCTTCAGTTCCTATTATTACTCCTACATCGACTTTCAACGCTAAACTTCCTCTTTCGGCTTCCTCCTCAAGTGTCACTATAGCCAACGATTTCAGTGCGCAAGACACTGTCCCAGGTCAACTGAAATCTCGCTCCAAACTACACACTGCAGCCTTCAACGTACGCACCCTATGTCAAATCGGTCAGCAGGCTTCCTTGGCTAAAACCCTAGAGTCTCTTTCCATTGATGTATGCTGTGTCTCTGAAACACGCGTACAGGATCCTAGTGTGGCCATTCACTTGACCTCATTTCGGCAAAACGGAGAGCCGACGAGATACACCCTCCGTGTATCTGGTGACCCGATGGCTAGTTCTCGTGAACTGGCAGGTGTAGGCATAGCACTAAGTATAGGGTCGGAGCAAGCACTATTAGAGTGGATCCCCGTTAACAGTCGTCTATGTGCTGTTCGGCTAAACGGCTCCGTAAGAATTCGGGAGGATAGGGACACACGTCGTTGCCTTTTTGTCGTTTCTGCCTACGCTCACACTGACTGCAGCTCCGATGAAGTGAAAGATGAATTCTACATAGTATTTGTAGGGGGTGACTCTAATGCCCAGATAAGTCGTTCACACCAAACAGAAAGGCATTTAGGTGGGTATTCGGGCACAGCGAACAGATAACGGTGATTGTCTGCTGCAACTGTGCTCAGGCAATTGTTGGAGAAGGTCGATAGAAGGTTGTCACTCATTCTGTAGTACCTGCTTGGGCTCCTGCCATGCCCTAATACGGGAACGCATCTGCTTGCACCTCACTGGACGCAAAAGTCACACTAAAAAGACCCATTAGAAGTGAATCCAGTAACGAGAAAACCATAAGTAGGCCCCCAAATGCCCTGGTATGGCCGAGAGTGGAGTGGGCCCGCCCTCCCTCTCGAAGTGCTCTCACATGGCCACGCGTATATAGCCTATGCCAGGGAAGTCTTACTCACTGCCTTCTCGCATCACGGGTGTTGTTTACGAAAATGAGAGGACGAAAAGCGAATGTCTGGCGCTTTAACCGGATTTCAAACCAATGGTGCACATGGGCTCCAGTATCCTGCGGGAACAAATGGCGTATGAATCAATCGTTGGTCACCGGCTTTCACGGGACTGCATCTCCTCACGATGCTCCACTGCCTTATGGATCAGACCTTTAGGTCGAAGGTTCGGGGAGTGGCCCCCTAAGAAAACCACCTGCTTTGGTCTGGGCATCCGAGCAGTATCACAGCCAGCACACAAATATGATGAACTGTCGATAATTATGGAAAATACTTTTCTTGCTTCAACTATTAATCAAATGATTCACATTATTATTATTACTATTGTTATTATTTACGACATCATTTATTCACTCTCTTTTATTCCTACTCTGTCTATCCTTATTTTTCGATTTATACAACAGCTCGTTTATGGTGAAAATTCTGTTCTGTCTAAACGTTCTCGAATAGAGACATTATCAGATATGGCTGAAAATAGAAGCCAGTGGCGATCCTGCTCTAACCTTTTACTTTCTTCATAAAAAGTGGTTGCTTCTTCCTTAACTGAAAGATCTCTTCTGAGTGTACGTTTCTGTTTTCCCCATTATTATTATTACACTAATCTGTTCGTCATCGTTTTTTTACGCTCCTTACCTTTTTTCCTTCTCTCCAAATTCTCATTGTTTTGTGTGGCGCATATATATTTGGTGCCCTCCTGGACCAATATTTATGTGTCTAAGTAAATAAGGTTCCAGGATCAAATGAGGTCACACTTAAGTAGTTCTGAAAACGAGGCTGACCCAGACGTTGCTTGGAGAGATATATAAACATCTGTGGAAACATCAGTGACATGTAGTGATTTAAACCACAGGGTTGCAAAGAACCAATGGATTTCTTCAAGGTCTATTGCACTGATGGATTCTCTCAAACTCATCCCATCAGGTTTGTAGCACGATGAAGAGCGTAAACAAATCAGATCTACATTAAGCAAATGTCCAAGGTCCCCCAACTCTAGCTGAAGTTCAAAAGGCTGTAGTTAATCTGAAACGAGGAAGGGCAGCTGGTCCAGATGGGTTGGCTCCAGAGGTCTTTAGGAATGGTGACCGAATCTTGGCTATTAGGTTGACTAGTATTTTAGCTAAAATCTGGGAGTTGGACGTAATCTCATCTGACTGGTCGCAATCACTTATCGTCTCAATATATAAGAGAGAGTCAAAATCATCCTGTGACAACCATAGAGGGATTAGTTTAACTGATAAGGTATCTAAAACACTAGCCTCGATAATTATTGGACGTCTAACTAAGACTTCTGAACTGTAAACACGATATAATCAGACTGGCTTCAGACTTAATCGTGGCTACATCAACCACATATTCACCATTCATCACGTTTTAAATTACAGGCATGCTTATCGGCGTCCGACAATTGTAGTTTTTCTTGATCTCTCTCTGTAGACCAAGAGATTTTGTGGCAGAGTATGTTATTGAAAGATGTACCTCAGAAGTACATAAACCTTGTGAAGGCTCTTTACTCGGACACTACCAGTAGAGTTAGAGCTGTCGTCTGATTTTGCGACCTCAAGTTGTGTCCGTCGAGGCTGTTGACTGTCTCCGTTTTCGTTTAACCTCATCATAGACCTATTGCTGGAAATAATGCTCTCGTTGACTGAATTCTCAGGCATTGATCTCCTTCCAGGAGGTCCACTTATCGACTTAGAATACGCGGATGATATAGTCCTGTTTAGTGAAGACGCTGTTAAAATGCAGTCTTTTAGTAGCACTGAGCAACAGTGCCAGAGTGTTTGGGATGCGTTTCTCCTCGTCTAAAAGCAAGTTGGTGCTTCAGGACTAGTCTACGTTAGACACGGGGTATTAGGGAATGGGGGTAAATCAGTTGATGAAATTGTGAGATGTTTGGACCACGTGTTACCTATGCCTGAACACCGATAACCACGACGCGCAATACTGACTAGTGTTGATTTATTCTCAAATAACAGTTTGTTACATGAGGCATGCCAGTTTACAGGCAAGATCAAATTGATACAATATCCACTGTAGTAAATTTCTCAGCTGGGTTGATAATTTATAAGATATGAATGTAGATGGTTTTAGTCATTATCACAGTTGGCGTGCTTCATGAAAGTTGCGTCGCGACGCGCACAGATCCATTAAAGGTGGGAGCCTCTAGAAACCACAACCTTATATATCTTTGGAATATCTGAGTCTTTAAGGATGATGCGGGATGAAGTCACCAGTTCCATATCCCAAGGGAACTGAAAAAGAGAGCAAGTAAAAGAAAGGACGAGAGACAGAGCAGCCAATGTTCATGAAGGATTACTAAAGGTATGACTACTCAGTCTAATTTTCTTTTATTAGAGTATTTACTAAGCAAGAGCATTCTAACAGGTTAAAGAAAATAAGTGTGAACAATGTATGAGTGGATAAAGAATTGACAAACCGGGGTGGTTCAGGAAAGAGCTGAGTATGCGATTGTATGTACTTATAAAATATAGTGCTAAAGACAGTATTAGGATACACAATTGGTCATCTCCCCTTCTTCGAAGCTACTGGAGCCTTTTTTTAGATTTTACAGGGTCTTGAGTAGGCGTCGTATTTTAGCGAATTGTCTAGTTTGCTTGTAATAGGATTTCTGGGTAGGAAGTGAAACCAATTCAACGTTCGTAACATGATTTAACGAGGTGTTTTGCATGATAAATCAGCATCAATACCTTACGTTCGTGACATCCCACTAGACTATAAGGAGCCGTAATTAAACAAAATGCTATGCCCGACAGACACGGGTGGATTGAAGTTATCTCCCCACTATCATGTTTGCTGGTCAGTAACGACACCCTCCCTCCTTTTGTGATGTTAGGCTCTCCTACGTTTGTGGTAAGTATGGATACTGCTTTA